GATCTGAGAGTCACCTGATTAGGTGGAGTGATGCAGGGGTGGTGTGGTGCACGGATAGGTGGGCTTCCTCCTGGGGGTCTCAGGCAAGGCCTCCCCCCAGAATGCTGGGGTAGGGTGTGCTGCAGGCCCCCAGCTACACTCACCTCACCTCTCTCCTGGCCACCTCAGGTGCCTCCTCCTGCTGTCTCTCTTCTGAACTGATGTCCTCTTTTCCTCACTCTCTTGGACTGGGATTCTTTGAGCTTTGGGTGATGGACAGTGAGCACCCTTGATTCGTAGAGTGTACACACGTTTTCTCTAATTTCTACATTGGACTCAAGTGGCTTTTTGAATGTAGAGCTTCCAGTCCTTGTTCTCCCATCCTCTCTCGTCCAGATGTCTGCAATACTCAAGCAAGGGAAAAAAGAGAAAACACATACAATTAGAAATTAGAACGGAAGGATATTGAGTTACAAAGGAGTTTTTTAAACAACTTGGGAACATGCTAAGCTGATCAGCCGAGTGAGACAGACACTAATGAGGTTCTCGAATTTCAGAATTTGATTTCTCTCTCTCTCACCACAGTTAAAGATGCTTCTGGGCATGTTCTCAGTGGTTATTTAGCTAGGAATAGTCACACAGAAATAGTAACATTAATCTGAAAGAATAAATAAAATGCCACGAAGTAGTTTCTTCCTATTGCCACTTGCCTATCCTCTTACATTTGAGTTAAACTTCCCAAACCGTGACCTGAAAATGCCTTCCCAGGGGGAAGCATCTCCTGCTGAGAACAGTGTAGGCACCTGTAGTCACCCAATGACTGTTGGGAGTTGTATGGAAAATTTGCTGTGAGCACCACCGCCTCCGAGAATAGAGTGACCCCATATGTGGGAGGCTGGGCCAGTCCAGTGTCATCCCAGCCTGGGTCTCTGATGGGAATATTCCTAACATGCTTGCTTTGAAATGTGGCCCAGACCCTGGAAGGAGTAGCAACTGAAGACCACGGTTAGCGCCCTAAATTGTAACTACATCAATCCCGGTACCCCTCATGGGCCAAGTGAGTACTTTACCATTTGAGCTAACTCTCCCTTCCCCTAAATTGTTACTAGATCACTATAAAGAGGCGAGAAAGGGCTAAATAGGACCCATGGTCCCCAGTGAGCACATTGTCTGGATTATGTTCCAGGGCAGTGGTTGTCAAAGGTGATCTACTTGTGGAATCTTCACTGTAAACACTCTGTATGTAAGATTCTGTGGATGTATATGTGTTTGTGTGGGCTTCCCTGGTGGCTCAGGAGTAAAGAATCCACCTGCAATGCAGCAGCTGCAGGAGACATGGGTTCAATCCCTGGGTCAGGAAGATCCCCTGGAGGAGGGCATGGCAACCCACTCCAGTATTCTTGCCTGGAGAATCCTGTGGACAGAGGAGCTTGACAGGATCAGTCCATAGGGTCACAAAGAGTCGGAAATGGCTGAAGTGACTTGGCATGCATGCCTGCACGTGTGTGTGTACCCACCTGATGAGAAGAGCTGACTCATTGGAAAAGACCCTGATGCTGGAAAAGATTGAAGGGAAAAGGAGAAAGGGGCAGCAGAGGATAAGATGGTTAGAATAGCATCAAGGGACATAAATTTGAGCAAACTCCAGGAGATAGTGAAGGACAAGGAAGCCTGGCGTGCTACAGTCCATGGGGTCATAAAGAGTCAGAGACGACTTAGCAACTAAACAACAACATATGTATATTAGTATGTTATGTATCTGTCTATGCGTGTGCACATGCACATATATGTACATACCAAGTGTATCGGACCAGGGTGAAGTGCAGCTGCTGGTGAGTATGGGAGGCTGAAGAGTGGCCCCTTCCACCTCTCTGCAGAGCCCCCAGTGGCAGCCAGTTTGGACCAGCTGCTCTCCAGGGGGTGTGCATGGCAGAGGGTTGGTGGTGGTGGTGATGCTCATGCTTTTCCTTGAAGACCACTGATTCGGCCTCAGGGATGACGTATGCTCCCGCCCACCCCCATGCATAGGAGATGCTGAATGTTAACTATCTAAGGGCAAAGTATCTTCTGCTGTAATAGCTTTTGATTCTGATCCATTTGAGTAACATAGAGCCGTTTCAGTGTTTCTAGAACACCTTTGAAAAAGCCATAGAGGCTTGTCTGCCACACTTGATTCACTGAATCAAGTTCTCTTCTGCGCTCTTAATGTGTACCCCTACTGGTGACTCTGTTCTTTCTTTCTTCTTACAAGCTGATGTTTGGGGCCTGTTCCACCTCTTCCATAAATTAGCTGCCCTCAGCCAAATAAGAGACGGTTCTCTGCCCTGGCCTTATTTGCATATCTACAGGAGGAAGTGTCATGAGAACACGCTGTGAAAGATAAGAGCAGAACAGGCTTCCAACTCTCTGGGGCGTGTGCCTGGTTGGCTCTACAAATGGGGTTGAGGCTGCAGCAGGTGGGCATGGGGGGAGTGAGGTGGGGGTCTGGGATGGTTCCCCGTTTCCCTGGGGACATCTCTGGGAGGTGGGGTGATGCTGAATTAGAGCTTCATCCTGGCCATCTCTGAAATAAGCCAATTGTGATGTCAGTTCAGGATCTGGAGACAGGACAAGAATGGGAGAGATGGGAATAAAAGGGATCAGGGGAAGAGAGGAAATTTTTCTATGTGAAATGAAGAGACACATGGAAGTGAAATCACCCAAAACATTCTCTAAAACTTTCTTTTAGCATTCATTGTTTCAAAAGGCATTAAAAATTGTAAGATGGACCACATAAAATTATAAAACCTCTATACAGCTAAGAAGAAAAACATTAATAAACAGTGTTATAAATAACTCCAAAATATACTGTAGCATATATCAAAATCTTTATTCATAAGCAAAAGATGAATTTTTTTTAAAAAAAGCAAGCCAAAGACATGAAAAGGAATTCACAGAAAAAGAAGCACAAATAGCAAAACTTATGAGAACACATTCAACCTTGCTCATGAAGGAAGGCAAATTAAAGCCAGCTATCATCTCTCAAATTTGCAAAAGATTAAAATGTCTGATAACATCCAGTTGGCAGGGTGCCAGGTGGTAGGAGACAGGTTAGTAGGAGACACAATGTGATGACTTCATTGGAAGGCAGTGTTAGTCTCTATCAAGATATAAAGTGCCTGCAACCTTCAGCCTAGCCGTCCTCCTTCTAGAGATGTATCCACAACCACTCACGAATGGCAGCACTTGTAGTTTAGTGTGTTTTGAGCACTAGTCTAAATGCTCAATTTACACAAAAAGTTGATGCTGTGTTATTATTCTCCCTTTTTTACTGAGGGGGAAACTAAAGGATTTTACTGAGGATTCACCAATGTACACAAGAAATCAGAATAGAGGTGTTCACTGAAGCACTATTTATAGTAGTGAAAAGCCCCAAATAACTACCTATCCAGGCTTTCTTGGTGGCTTAGACGGTGAAAAATCTGCTTGCAATGCAGGAGCCCCAGGTTTGATCCCTGGGTAGGGGAAAATCCCCTGCAGAGGGGAATGGCTACCCATTCCAATATTCTTGCCTGGAGAATTCCACAGACAGAGGAGCCTAGTAGGCTACAGTCCATAGGGTCACAAGAGTTGGACACAACTGAGTGACTCTCACACACACACACACACACACACACACACACAAAACCTACCTGTTCATCATCACAGTCTAGTCAAATAAATGATGAGCTGGTCACAGGCTGGAACATGACTTGGACAGATGGCTAATTTTTTTTTTTTGGTGAAAAGCAGAAAATTTCAAAACAAGGTATATAATATGATACTATTTGCATTTAAAAGATACGCATCAATTTACATGTATGTTTCAACGTTCTGGAATGATTTACAAAAAAGAGTAGGAACTCCAAAGAATTCAGAGTACTGGGGAAGGATGTTTTTTTTTTTTTTCATTTTATATCTTTCTGAGTGGTTTAAAATTTTTTAAACTAGTATATAACTTCAAAATCTAGTTAAACAATAACACATAAGTGTTGCGTTCTGGGCACGTAGGAGGGGTTAAATGAATGACCGCTTTGTACTGAAGCATCACTTTGATCATAGAAACAACATGAGCCTCTGTGAGCCAGAGTGTGGAGCCGCCTGGGGGTCTAGAGGGGTGGGCAAATTTTCAGGGTCCATGAGAATCCCATGTGGGGGAATAGGGGGTGGGAGATCATGGGTGGGAGGATAGAACAGCCATTTCAACTGAGAGTGTAAGACCCAACTGGTGGCCCCCAAATTCCTTATGCATATGGCCTCAGCAACCAAGCCAGGGGAACTCTACGGATGCCTACTGCCACCAGGCTGTCTGCAGGCTGGCTGCCCTAGCTGGGCCACCCACCAAGGGCCCCTTTCCCACATGCTCAGAAACTGACAGCCCCCCTTCCTCTCAATGCTTTTAGGAAAGTAAAAAGTGACTCTCCTGCCTTCCCACATCACAGTCCTCTGGACCAGAGGAAGGCTGAGCCACTAGAAAGAGAATCCGGGATTCCTTGCACTTCTGTGTTAGAAGCTACCCTGAGGCTCACCCTAAGGCATCTGGGAAAATCCAGGTTTCTGAAGGAATCATGGCCTGCCTTCGGGAGAATGAACTCGTGGGGCAAAGTCTCCTGGGGAAGCAGCCACAGAGGGTGGGGGACTTCCACCCAGAGCTGCGTGAGCCTCACCCTGGCCAGCACGACCCCTCTATGGCTGTGCCCACCTCCCACTTGGCATCTCCGACTATGCTCAACCCCACTGGGGTCTCGTTCCTTCTTGAAACACCCACTCTGGCTCCATTTTGTTTGGCCAACAGGACAGCAGATGGAGGGTCCCTTTAGACCAACCCACACAGCTGTCAAGCACCAAAGTAAACCACATCCCAGGGACTCACCCCCTTCCCCTGAGGCTCCTTGAATGCTGGGGGTGAGGCAGGAGGGGGCAGGCAGTGCCTCTGTGCAAGACCACTAGACGTCCAGAAAAAGGAATGTATAGGTTCTAACTCAGCACTTGGTCTGTTTCAGGTACCGGAACTGTGTTTACACTTACAGGATTCTGCCCAATGAAGACGATAAATTCACTGTTCAGGTGAGTCTTTCAGAAACCTCGAAATGTGACCTTGACTGGAGCCTATACTGGCAGCAAAAGAGAAAGAAGGGAAGAAACCAGATGTCCCAGGCAGCCTAGATGTGGGGCTTGCCTGAGTCTGTCTTTCTCCTAGAGGACCCTGGCTGGGGTTGCTCAGCGGGCAGAGCATGACCCTGCAAAGGGACCTGCTCCGGGCCATGATGGAGCAGGTGCCACAGACGCGGTCTGTGTTCCTGGGTGTGAAGGGGAAATATCGGGAGGAAGGATGCTCAGATGCAAAGGAAAAGTGACTGTGGTTGTTGATTCTTTTCTTCGGTGTGTTCAAATGGGTGAGAGTAAGTGGGCCATGAAAGAGAGAAGAGAGGGAGCTTGCAGGACAGTAGACCTTAGGGTTTGAAGGGCTGGAAGATGGCCCTAAGGATGAGCAGGAAATAATACCTTCAACTCATAGAGACCTGTTCTGTCAAAGGCATCATGACATCTGATTTCCCCATGGAAAGTCCGAACACATAAAACCCTCATTATAAATGTTAAAGAGGGAGTTCCCCGGTGGTCCAGTGGTTGGGACTTGGCACTTTCATTGCTGTGGACCCGAGTTCCATACTTGGTCAGGGAACTAAGATCCTGAAAGCACAAGCTGTGCAACTTGGCCCCCCCCCAAAAAAAAAGAGAGAGAGAGAGAAGGGGTTAAAAAGGTTAAAGAAGGACATAACAGGTGTGCCAAGTCCAGGAAAACCACCCACTGTACGGTTTGTGTGACAGGCCCCATGGGTGTTGTGTGATCACAATGCACAACCCCAGAGATGCAGAGGCCAGGGGAGCTCTTTTTATCTGGCTGCCCCAAGCCAGCAGGGCGGTGGGCCGAATAAAGGAGGCCATGCTCTCACCGGTGGGGACAGAGGAGTGACGCTCAGCTCTCCGGCCCCTGGGGAGGGACACCAACAGGTGGAGTGCCCCACCTGCAAGCCGAGAAGAGCGGCCAGGATAGACGAGGGTCAGGACACCACGTCACGGGGGAGCCATGACAGGATCTGCGGGGTCCAGTTGAAAAGAAAGTAGAAGTGGAATGGGCGAGGTGGCGTGCAGTCACTGATTCCGGAGATAAAGGCAACGACGCATTTTGTGCAGAAGGATGCAACGGGCTTCCCTGGTGGCTCAGATGGTAAACAAAACTGCCTGCAATGCAGGAAACCTGGGTTCAATCCCTGGGTCGGGAAGATACCCTGGAGAAGGGCATGGCAACCCACTCCAGTACTCTTGCCTGGAGAATCCCCATGGACAGAGGAGCCTGGCGGGCTGCAGTCCATGGGATCGCACAAAGTCGGACACGGCTAAAGTGACTCAACACACGCTCAGGAGGCAGTGGGACCGACAGAACTGGACTACAGGCAGGTCCCTGGGGAACATGGGGCTGCAAAGAGTCGGACACAACTGAGTGCACTTGTGCGCACACACACAGGTCAGGCTGAGCGTAGCTTCTGGCTTCTTAGTCCTTCACACACGTGCATTGCAATGGTATCTAAAGAACACCCGTTTGAATGTTTTTGGATAGTCTGGGATGCCCCCGTGTCTCATCCTTGTCACTAGGAACACATGTTGGTACCCTAATGCTGTAGACGGTCTTTTCAAGACTTGGCAGCCACCCACCACTGGGATGGTGGTCTTCTTGTGGGCTCCTCACCGGTCAGGGACAAGACTGCCCGAGGGGAGGCCTGCCTGGGGGGCCGGTGGGGCTCAACGGCCTTGAATTTTCCCCAAGTCTAGGACTGTGTGAACTTTCCCACAGAGGTTGGTATCCTTGATTGGTGGTTTGCTGAAAGGAGTTTAAACTCTCGAGTTAAAAGTTAGTCGGGGCTTTTGATCTTTTTTCCCCTTGTGGTTTCTTTTATTCCTTCAAAGGGAAGAAGACTTTAAGTATGACTAGGTCGTAAGCTGGAAAAGGCCCGACTGCGGCTTCTTGTACAGAGTTTGCACTCACGGCTTGTAACCATCTTAAGTTGCACCCAGGTGTGGACCCTCTCGCCGTCACTCCTTGCTGCTGTGACATTGCGTTTTCCAGGGAACAGCTGCCAATCCTGCAGCGGCTTCCAAACCTGGGGCCTCACCAGGCTGCAGGGGTCAAAAAGAACAGAGACTCAGTTTGGCTAACACGTACAAGGAGTGTGGGCAGCCCTGGGGGAGATGCACAGTGCAAGGAGGGAGAAGGCTGGGGCCTGGACTGGAAGGGCTTGGGGCCCTGCAGTCCAGGTGCTACCTGCCATGACTCAGCCCCTCTTGGGGGGTCTGCCCTGCTCCCACCAACAGGCTCACTACTGAGTTGCCAGTCCTGAGAGGGAACCTGGTCGGTTCAGCCATGGAGCAGGGGCCCACCCATGGCTCGGAAAACAGGTAGAGTTGTGGTGTGGGGATGAGGCATCATTACCTGAGGCCTACGCTCAGCCAGGGTGACAGCCAGGCAGATCTCGTAGAAGAACTGGGCCCTGCTGGACGCATCTGTCCCCAGCCCGGGCACTGGGCCTGGGACCCCCTGGTGGCCAAGACCAGGTAACCAGGGTATGGGGACTGGGGTGCCGAGGCAGCCTGGGCCATTTCCCCTCCCGAGGATACACCTTCCCGCAAAACACAGCAGCACACAGACGATCGGAGCAGCTGTTCACGAGGAGCTGGTGAAACCACGCGCACAGTCAGGCCAAGTCCCGGGGCTGTCGGAGCTGCAGTGCTCACCGATCAGGGCTCATTTTTACTCCAGTTCCTCTTTTCATGTTGAGGCAAAAACCTCATATTCTTTTCTGAGCTTAGCCACAGTTTCTAAATAACTCATTCCTTACACCTGAGTCTGTTGGGTGCCCCCAGAATAGAAGGCTCCCCAAATAAGATCTGGCCTGAAACATTGCCAAGTGAAGCAGCAAAGACTTTCATCTTATTCTAATCACCTTAGTTAGCTCTTCTCACTGGGGCCTCCCGCTCTTTGTCAAAACCAAAGGAGCCACTCCGTCTCCGTTTCTTGCCAACCTCGTGAAGTCGGTCGAGTGACGGTCCCCAGATAGCTCAGGTGGAGGAGCAAGCCTGACCCTTGGTGACTCTTTGTCACTCTACCGTTCCCAGACTTACGAAAAATCAGAGATGGGAGGGAAGCGTGTAAGCCGTAACTTCATTCAACCCCCGTGATTTAAACATGGAGGTCGCTGAGCCCCGCAAAAGTGGGGCATCGTGCCCAGGCTCCAGACCTGCCTGGCTAAGCCTTCTATTTCTCAACCCCAGAAAGTGTGTCCAAACCCAGCTGGGCGTTGAGCACCTTAGAGAAGGATGGATTCTGTCCCAGGAGGACAGGAAGGCAGGGAGATGGAACCTCTCAGAGGGAGAGGCCGCCTTTCCTTCCACAATTGTAGATAATAATTCATCAGAGATGACATTTGGCCTTTGCAGTAAATCAGCTGAGGCACCTGGAAGGCAAGCCAACCACCCAGTTGCCAGCTGGGTCAAGTCAAGCTTGTGCCAGCTGTGTGGTCTCGGGCATGGGTGTGACTCTGCTGTAAAGTGGGGCTCAAACCCAGGCCTCCCAGACTGCAGGTAAAATACCCAGCCAGGGGGGGTGGTCAGTGGCAGAGTGGGGGGGAGTTGTGGGGGAAGGGGAGCCACCGGCCTGGCTTTAAAGTCTTGATTTGCTTTGAGAGAAACAGACCTCAAACAAGACGAGGACACCTGTGAACCAGCGTGAAGTCATTTGTACCTCGAGCTCAGATGAGGGAGGAGGGAAGAAGGGCAGGAAATGGGATGAAGAGAGGAGAAATGAAGAGACAGGAAAGAAGGAACAAGTGAAAGAGGAGAAGGGGAGACAGGGAAAGAGAAAGATAAGAGGGAGGAAGGGATGTCCCTGGTGGCCCAGTGGTTAGGACTCTGCTTCCAATGGAGGGGTCGTGGGTTCGATCCCTGGCTAGGGAGGAGGGAAGAAGGTCAGGAAATGGGATGAAGAGAGGAGAAATGAAGAGACAGGAAAGAAGGAACAAGTGAAAGAGGAGAAGGGGAGACAGGGAAAGAGAAAGATAAGAGGGAGGAAGGGATGTCCCTGGTGGCCCAGTGGTTAGGACTCTGCTTCCAATGGAGGGGTCGTGGGTTCGATCCCTGGCTAGGGAGGAGGGTCCCAGATGCTTGCCAAACAAAGGTAAAGAAAACAAAAAATAAATAAGAGGGAGGAAGAAAAAGTGAAAGAAGAAAGAGGGAGGGGTAGAGATGAGTGACGGGGGGGCAGTTCTGATAGAAAAAAAAAAATGAGGGAAACAAGCGTGAGGCACAGAGGCAGCATAGAGGGGGAGGGGAAGGGAGACTGGCTGTGTTCTAGAAGGTTCTAGTCAGTGCTCAGGGGTGGTGGGATGGGGGCCAGTTTGTGGCAATCAGACGCCCTCAGCTCAGCTCCTCGGGCTGCAGGTTTCCACAGTGTCCCCAGCAGCCCGGGGACTTAAGCCGTCGTTCAACAGCTGCCGTTGAGCCTGGGAACCTTCCAGACTGGAGGCGGAGCTGCTGGCGCTGGGGGTGGGCAGGGCTCTGAGGGCCGGCCCCTCAGCCCCGTTTCCCACACCAAGAGAGTGGGTTTCCCGTAAGGCCCCGACCCCGCCCCGACATGGAAAGGGAAGTGGCCCTCCCAGGAGAAGCGGTGACTGCAGAGTGAGCTGTGAGGTTCCCGCGGCCTTTTGCAACGCCCCTCCGCCCGGGGGTGTCAAGGCAGGGCGAGCAGTCCTGGTGGGCCAGCTGGGACGGCGCTGAGGGGAGGCCCCAAGGCTGGCACGTACGCAGCCCGAGGCCACCGTCCCAGAGCATGGGCCCTACAGCTCCACCCTGCGACCCTCCCACCCTGGCTGCTTTTCTGACATCCTTCCTACCCAGCAGAATAAAGGAGAAAATAGAAGCCTCCCCTGGTCCCCCACCAAGGTGACGCTTGCTGCAAACCTGTCTTTTCTCGTGGTTGCGATTCTACGCTGGCTGGTGAGTGTCGAAGTCAAGAC